CCCCAAAACCCCAAAACCCCAAAACCCCAATAAATTCTGAATAAGCTGAAATATTTCAAACTTATAATAATTATGAACGTGGTAATATTTATAGCTGTATTTTTGGGAGTTTCGGTAGGATATGAAGTGCTGAACACTCCTAGAGAGATCTTGGCGTGTCTGAAGAATACTGAGAAAGTAGTTTGAGGGAGCGATTTTGGAACTAATCCGAAGAGATATTGCTGTGATCCGTTTGAGAAAGATTACACTGCTTGCAGGGGTAGTTCAAATGTATGATCAGATGAGTTAGAGACACTTGGAGAGAAAGGAGAATACTTGTTAATGAAGTCTTCTGAGGACTGTAAGAATACTATGTTTACTGTGAATGAAGAAGAGGGAGTTTCCATTAACATCGATTATATCCCTGAAGACTTGGCATGTATCCTTCAGGTTGAAAACAAAGGAAATTATTCATCAAGTCTCAGATTCATTGAAGAAGATTACCATAATTTTGATGCTTATGTTTTTGAAAAGAACTCCTATCACTCCAAATTTGAGCCAAGAGGTCACTTCAGCTTCTCCAACTCCACAACCCCTACCCAAAACGACTTCCACATCTGGTACGACAACACCTCCTTCATCATTCTCACCGTCAAAGACCCAAACCAAGGTCCTGGCCACTTCAAATCAACCGCCGTCCCACTTCCCGCACCCGAAGAAGACACGCTCAAATCCCAACTTTATCCCCCAAAAATCCCAAATTTCCTCTCTAAAATTCTAAAATTTCTTCCTAAATTTCTTAACAAAATTAAATTTTATTAAGAAATTTCCCAACCTCTGTATCGAACATATTAGGAAGCACAATCGTATCATTCTCATGCAAGGTTTGTTTTTCCTTGCAAGTGTAGTCGGATGCGTTTTTTGCTGCTTGTTTTGCTTCTCTGTTAAGAGGGATGCTTTTAAGCTAGCTCCTGTTGTCCATCATGAATTAGGAGCACATGATGCTGAAAGTTATATGGTTGACTCCAAGCAGCTGCTCCAGAAAGAAGATATTCAGAGCAAAAACCCTAATCTGTTCTGTACAAATGAACTTGGAGAAGTTAGGTACAGAATGGTGCAAGCTCCGTATTAAGGTGCTTACCTAATAGGTTAGATTCAAACAAGAAGGGAAGCCTCGGATAATTTCTGGATGAAGATGACTCTGATTTTTAAGAGTAGCTCTTAAATCCAAAACAGAGATTTTACCTTTAATTATTTGCTAGGAACTAACCTTATGGAAACTTATTTCGTTTTCTTGTCTCAATCTATAACTCCGATCTGGGGTTTTGGGGTTTTGGGGTTTTGGGG